CAAAAAAAAAAAAAACAAAAATTCTAATTCAATATCACTTGCAGAAAAGTCAACAGTAACATTTTTAATCACATGAAAGATAATAAAAAAACTTGAAATAACACTAACTCAGAGGTGGTGGAGTAGAGGAGTAAAGTAGCTGAACTATGAACTTCCCTACAATGGAATGTTCGCAAGGTTGTCCAACAGAAACCTAGAACAATCCTGCCACCATCATAATAATGATATAGTAACCTCAACTATTGACTCATTCCAATTCCAAAGAGTAGAAACCAAATAACATTTTGCTTGATGAGACTGTTATAGGCCAAAGAACTCCCAAAACTCTATCCTGTGGCCACCACAGGAGGTAGTTATATGAAATAAGGGAAATGTAGTGAAGGTACACTCACCTCCATCATGATTCTATGGATGTTTACACATATTTTTTGATAAATGCAAAAGAAATAATTACATCTAAATATTTTTTTGCTTCTTCAGATGTAACCAATTCTACAGTCAGTTTTAAACTAAGAAAATCACAATCTTGTGACATCTGGAAAAGCAATTCTTAAGTTCTTGAGGTAACTTGTATTTTAAACAAGAAACTTGCTGCAAAAAAAAGCAAAAGCCAAGTTTGTTAGGTAACATGCCTGCCTCACTGCCATACTCAGAAGGTTAAATACCTTCCCAAGGTTATACGAAATTCTCAGTGCCTGTGCAGCCCAGAGTAGCTCAATCACAGAAGGGGAGACAGGGAAATATAGATGTCAAGAAACTTAAATTTTGGGCTTCTTCACTTATAGTTAGTCATCAGAGGGTGAAATGGCTCCCTTGTCCACAGTCCCAATATAGAGCAGAGACAACATTCACCAACAATCAGTTGAAGTGTGGCCCGAGTTTTCCAATTTTTCTTTTGAATGCAAATATGTAATTTTGCTGAGCACTAACCAATTCTACAACAAAAAATGGTGTGTCCAAAATCAATGCACCATCCAAAATGTTGACAATTTCAGAGCACAGTCTTAGTACACTACTTCAAATGAAGATCGCTGTCCAAGGCATGTGATGCTGTTTCTCATTATAAGTCATCATTCTGAAGTTCTCAGACTATGGCACACTGCATCATACCATTAGTACCAATTAATATATTGTTTTAAAATGGCTTTTGATAAAAAGCGAAAGGCATTCCTATGGTGCAGAAAATTATAATCTTAGATCCTCTCCACCAGAATCTAGGGAAAATATCACTTAAAAATTATATCACATACAGATCCAATCTTAAATTCATGTATACTTAACTAGGGCAAGAAATTTCCAAAGAAGTCTTTCAGCATGACCCCCACACATTCTCAGTGAAAAACATTTTCAACATTCTTAACATTGAAATGAATAACTAGGTCTCCCTGGTCCTTCCCACGCAAGTCAGCAGAAGCCACAAAAGAAGCCAAGCCAGCTTGGGGGTCTCTCAACAACACATTGGGAGCTTCTGTCTTAGGTTGCTGAAAAGGAGAATTCTATTCTCTGGCCAGCATATCCAACTTAACTGTTCATACAACCCAAACTCTTCTTCACTGATGCAAGCCTGCTTGCTCCATGTTCTGTCCCCTGAGCCAGTGGGAGAACAAGGACAATACACTATCTGCTTGAACAAAGCCCGAACGACAGATTGGAAACAAAACACTTCCCTGCTCAGGATTCCTCCCAGAATACTGACTTGACCCAGGCTGTTGGATCACTGATTTAAGGCAAGATTTTCTCCAAGATTTGCAGTGCTGCTTGTGTCTCCTCACTGTACTCTGTGGATCCTCTCTATTTGCTGTCTTTGATGATGGGATAACAGCTGTGCCACTGCACTTACAGATTCCATGACACAGAGAAAACCACCAAACCCAGTAAGGAACCTGGATCCAGGCAATGGCAGAAAACAGTAGAACAGAAATAAAGTACTAAGGTAGTCAGACGTTTTAGATGTCTACTACAGAGATACTTGGTGTGGCTAGGCTTAATAGCCTGTGACGGCACAGGAAATAAAAGAACACACATAATGTATTATTGGGCCATGTTCTACAATCCACAACCTAAGACTTTCTAAGACTCTTTTTTGTTTTCTTACATTTTTTAAATTATTATTTTTATTAGTACATGGTGTGCAGTCCACAATGATTACATGTATTGTGGGGAATTGATACATGTGCATAACAATCTCAATTTTTTATTTCTCCTTCTCCAAGCTCCCTTTTCTTTTCCCAGCATTAGATTCATCTATCTTTTAAGTCCTCAGAAAGGTAATCATCATGTATACTGATCAACAGCCACACTAATGTGGAAAATCTTTACAAGAACAAACAAAATAAAAAAGTACATACGCTGCCACTCCTTTGCTTTTCAACAAAGGAATTTTATTGCTAAGTCCATATTATTCACCTATTTCAAGCCAACACTCATAAGTTGAATGAGACAAAGATTCTCAGTCCACATCTTTGAGCAAGAAGTGCCACTGCTTCACTTCTGTGCTTACATACGAAGTAAAACACATTGGGAGATATTATTCACTATTAGAAGAGACCTGGGGATTGTAGCACAGTAGTACAGTGCTTGACAAGCACCCATGATGCGCTGGATTTAAGCCTCATACTGGAATAAGAAAAGCAAACAAAAAAGCCAGAAAAATTCTTTTCCTATGACAAAAGGTACAGAGCAACTAATCAAGTGTGAATTATCCACCTTTTCCTATGCATTGCTGAGTGCTTCATCATTAGTTGAACCTTGTCACAAGAATTTAGGATCTAGGAATTTAGGAATTTAGTTGTTTACCACTTTAAAGGAATTTAGGTGTTTACCTAGGAATTTAGATGTGCCTAGGAATTTAGACATTTACCACTTTAAAGACTACCTCTTGACTCCCCCATGCTTCCACTGACCTATCTAGTCACATATTTCAAAAATACTTAGCAGTTTAGAATTTCCTCTCCTTTAGAAAAAGTGTAACTGCCCTAATATTGAATCCTCCTGAGGCTTGATCACTTTCTTCAATTCAAGTTATACATCTGAAGTTGTTTTACAGGACATATGGTGGCAACTTAGGAGCATTATTAGTGACTATGTGACTTTTTTTTACAGCCTATTGAGCAACACACATAGGTTATTACATTTCTGGGCCACAGTCTAGGGACTATGACCCAAGAGCTTCTAAGATGCTTAATATCTCTCAAGTGAAAATGCTGTGTTTTGTATTCTAATAATAAGCTCAGAGGCTGGGTAACTCTGGCAGCTTCTGGATAGCATATAACCAACATGCAGAAAGACAAAGAAATGTTTAAAAGATGAAAGCAATTTTGTTTGTAGTTATCCAGCAGGATGAAATACTGTCTTCCCACTAGATCTGTGAAAAGGGAAAAGAGAACTGAAAATGAGTTAATCAAAGACAAACAGCTAATTAAATTTGTACAAAACGAAGTTTTTAAAAATCCTTAAACTATGTTTGAACCATAACTTTAGGGTTGAGTAATACTTAGATGCATGAAGACTTTGAGATCTCCAGGTGGAATATTCAAGGTCCACTCTTCTTCCACCATACACTGAAATATGCACAAAAGTTAACTGTTGTCCTGAGTCCTATGATTCACTCCAGAAATTAGAACAAAAGAACAGGGGGGTAGATTATGAGAAAGTCTCTTTGACTACACTAGGTAATAAA